CATCAGTTGGGTTTTTAATTATTTGAAGATATAAAAGATCACTACTGCACAGACTCTGGCTCCGAATCACGTCACCAGCACAAGATAGCACCAGTGGAAAGAAGTGGAGACGTCCATCTTTTACATGTCGATGTTTGGTGTTGAGTTTCATATGATACCGGTATCTTCAGTCTAGCTTTAAAACAGCCTCTGAAACACACAGCGGAGTGGAAGAAGACGGGATTATTATCTGGATGTCGACATGCTGCAGACAAACTCTGATAATAATATAATAATAATAATAATGTTTCATCATTTCACTGGAAAAGTTCTGGAGGTCTGGATGCTGTTGGAAACACGTTGATAGGAGGTAAAGAAGCAGAGAGACTCAGGAGACCAGAATCAGAATCAGTGATTACAATCAGGATTAAAAATGTCTGATTGGGTTCACACCGTCAGCACAAACAGAACCAGGTTTCTGTCTACGGTGTGAACGCAGACTTTATGTCTGATCACAAACAGACTCTTCTCAGCGTGAATCAGCTCCTCCGTGAGAGCCCTGAGCGAGTAATCCATGATTACACATTAAGATTATTGATCATATCGAAAAGCCCATTTAATTGCTGTAATCTAATTACCTTCTCTTGTCTTGACCTTCATCGCCGAGACGCTGTTTAGCCGCCCGGTATTTGAGCGAAGTGAATCTGCAGATTGTCTTGTTAAATCACGCCGGCTGTCCTTCTATTAACATAAAAGCTCCTGTTCATTAACCTCAGCCGACTCGCAGCCGGGAGGCAGCCGAGGTCAACGCCACGTTTATTTAGAAACAGGCTCCGATAAACAGGTGCTTCACGAGATTTAAAGATCATTGGATCAAATTTACAGTGAGACACATAAATTCATTTGAAAAAAAATCTGAAATGGAGAATAATTATAATAATTTTACTGCTTTATGGAATCTTTTAAACTGTGTAAAGCATCAATGGTCCGAACACAGACTGAATGAAAACAGCTGTTAATTATGTATAACTTATATCCTTAATATAATATAAAGGTAGCTGTACAGTTGTCATGAGACCAACAGGCTGTAAACATGTTTGTTTCTGCTGTAAAGTTTTAATATGGTTCCTTACGGAGACTGACTGCTGGAGCCAGCCTCTAGTGGCCGTTACAGGAACTGCAGCCTGTGTTACATCCGGAGGTTGCCGCTTTATGAAGAAGCAATAAGAATATTGAGTTTCTCGACTTCCAACAACTTGACTTCTTGTCGCAGTTTTTGTGGGGATTTCTCGAGCTCTGACGCAAGAACACGACTTCCTGGTTTTTAATCCCGCCTACAAATCTCTGATTGACAGGAAACAGCCACCAGTGACACAAAGCCAGAGCTGATGAAGATCTGAGATGTAGTTCAGATGTTAAACAGAACACTGGGTCCTACATCTCCCATAATGCAACTGGATAGTGTGTCTCCACTGTGTTTGGGGTTACAACATTAATCTCACCATTAAGTATCCGGAGCTTTCCATCAGCAGACAGAGTTCCATGGAGGAAAAGTTCCGAAAAATGAAAGGAACTAAACGAGATTAATTGATTGATTGATTATTGATGCTGGAGATCCCAAAACTGTAATTTGAAAGTTTTGAATTCATCACACGTGAAACGGAATTTGGTTATTGACTATTGATTATTTATGTTTATATGAATTTTCCTCATCCTCCCTCTGAGAGACTTTCTATGAGGAATTCATCTCATTGAGTTGAACGAATGCGACATTTTCTGAAAATAATCGGTCAGATTTCTTCAGGCTCAAACGGACGGTGAGCCAGTGAAGGTCTCAGGATCGTCTGTCAGCAGGTAGAGCAGCAGCTGGATCGTCCCGGTCCCGGTCCCGGTCCCGGTCCCGGTCGGTCCGCTGCAGAGCTTCAGCTCCCCCCTGCAGATATCTGCTTTCCTGCCCTCCACACGGCGGTCACAGCGCGGTACTCATCAGGAGTCCATGCGGGGAACAGAGGCATGTGTGGCGGATATAAACCAGCCCCGACCCCGCTCCTCCTCCTCCTCCTCCTCCTCCTGCTCCCCCAGTGAGGAGCGTCCCGTCCGGCCGGGAGGGAGCGCTCCCCGCCGCCCGCTGCAGGATGCACGCAGCGCTGCGCGGCTGTAGCTGCTCCCCGTTGCACGGAGCGCGCTGATCCGCCGCTCCCGTGCTGTACCGGGTCACACCGAGCTGAACCGGGTTATGTGCATCCAGCGGGACAGGAAGGAGAAGAAGAGGAGGAGGAGGAGGGACAAACAAACAAACAAGAGGCGACTGAACTGATGCAACTTCTGTAAAGTCTGTGAACCGAACCGAGCCGAACCGAACCGAGCCGGATCATTATTCAACCTCCGAGTTTCTCTCAGACTGTTTGTACTCTCTGCTGGAGGATGAAGCTCCAACAGTAAACTCTCTCACCTGACCTCAGTATTTACTATGGTACAAGTATGAGTATATATTACTCTATTATTACTTTATATAACTTTATTATATCTTTATATAAACTCTATAATCTATAATCGATACATATTCACAGACTTTGGTAGTCTGCAGTGATGTGTTTTTTTCCTCCAGCAGTAGTTATAGTAGTACTGTAGTACTGTAGTAGTGTTATAGTAGTAGTACACTTTTTTTTTTTTACCTTCATTTTCCGTCCAATCAGACGCTGCTCTGATGTTCAAATTCCTCCATTTGGTCCAATTAGAGCGCAGTTACAGGTCGTAGCTCCTGATTGGCTCTGCTGCAGACTCGGTGCTTCGGTAGTATGTGTGTGTGTGTGTGTGTGTGTGTGTGTGTGTGTGTGTGTGTGTGTGTGTGTGTGTGTGTGTGTGTGTGCAGTCATTAACTGTATTGTGTTTTATGTTCATTTTCTTACAGACTCTAAGTTGAGTTAAAAGTGATTGAACTTCCATATAATAGTGAATGATATCACTCATATACTTTATAAGTTATATAATAATACTCGTGTATGAACGTACAGTGTATGTGAGTCTGCTGATCACTCTCTTATACTTATTGATCGGTTTATCAATCGGTCTGTGTGGTCCATGTTCTTCTGATATTCCCAGAATGAGCTCCCTGTGGTTTACTGTGGAGGCCCATTAGTGCCAATGTGGTGAACAAAATAAAAAGAATCATTCATTATAATAACAAACATTCCCAAAAAGATTACGTAGTTTATTATTTTAAGAAAATGTCTCATTATATCTATACAGGATCTTTTCTTCCCATCACATTGGCGGAACTGGGCCTCCGTAGTTTACAGTTAATTACACACAGATTTAATCTTAATACAACGTCCCTGTGGCACACTGTACTTATCAGCCAGTTTATTTGACTTTATTACACTTTAATGAGCTGACGTGTGGATGTGACACAGTGAGAGTGTCTGCGGACGTCCACAGGAAGTTTCTGTAATTGAATCTGTGATATTGTTGCTCTGGGGGCTTCGCAGTGTCTGCGGTGAGTTTATAGTGATTGTTGTACTTTATGTTTTCTATGAGCTGTTACCCTCCTTTGTATCGGGAGCGTACGGTGGCTTTATTGTGGTATCCGTCCCTGTGGTAGCGTCTCTCCTGTCTCCGTATAGAGTTTCAGTGTCGGTGCTGATTTACGTTTGTGGAGTTTGATCTCCTCCCGTATCGCCTTTAATGCTCCTATAGGGACGCTCGCTGCTTTACGGAGGCTTTGTTGGGTTTTATGGTAACTTCTATAGTATCTCTGCAGACTAATATTCCTCTTATATCCCCGTAAAGATGTTTATAGAGTGTTTGTTCTTCTCAGGTGTGACTTTATGATTCTTTATTGTGTTTTAAAATCCTCACGTCTGTTTAAAGTTCCCTCGCAGCTTCCAGTCGGTGTTTCTGTGGAATCTCATCAGATCCATGTGTGTAAATATCCTGTGAAAGCTCCAGCAGTTGTTCAAACATCACCATATTTATTTATTGATGTGTTCCATGTGTTACACTGTATAGTGTGTGGATGTCACATAGGGGGCGCTGTTAACTGGCTCCAATCACCTGCAGCCTCACACTGAAACCTGTGAACCAACTAAATGGATATTTTCACTTTTTCCACATTTCAGAGTCAAATATTTATAATTTTCTCTCATTTATGTGGCAGAAAACCTCAAACTGAACTTAACTTTGTCTAATTATTATTATAACTGTCCCATCAGAGCGAGGGCTTCCTAATATTTCTATACTTGAACTTCAACCTTTAAAAGGAGTATTTCAACCCTTTTCATCCACTTTGTGTGAAAGGTCAACATCAAGTTAAGAAGCTTTTTTTCATAATGAAATATTCGTCCTCAGGGAGCCACAAACACACAGACACAACTTTACACACAAAACATTAAAGGAAATAAAAACACGTTAATTAAAACTGCTAATTAAAAAAAAATAATTTAAAGAAATTAAATATGTAAATAATCTACATATAAACTAATAAATATAAAGAAAGTAGCAATAAAATGAATTTAATAAAATGTGAGACACAAATAATAATAACATGTGTTTCATATTATAGAGTTTATAAAGTTTGGGCTGATTTCTGATAATAATAATAATAATAATAATAATGGTCCTGTACGGTGTCATTAACCCCCCCGCACTGAGTGGATACTGACAGATCTCTATAGATCTCGGGGATCTCCTCTGATGGACGGCTGGAGACGGTTACCGGCTCCCGGAGGTTTAAAGTGGCTTCTGGACTCGACATGGCGCTGGATTAGACCTCGTGTCCTCTCACACGCACACGCACAGAGCGCGCGGGGAGGAGGGCAGCACGGAGCCCGCGGAGAGGACCGGAGCGAGGCTGAGACGGAGCCGAGCTGCAGGAGCTGCACGGCGGACCTGCGCAGAGAGAGGCGGCCGGTCGGCGAGTTCACGTCCAAAAACTTAGAGCCACAACTTCACCGCCCCCCCCCAACCTTCCAGCCCCCCCCCCCCGCTGGTGCCGGGGCTCATTCTTCCTCTTTAATGCGTAAAAAGCGGCTGGAGAGTTTCTGCACGATATTCTAATCAATACCGATCGATAAGCCCCCAGTCTGATCAGCCCGATATTCTCCTGAGCGGCGGGATCCCGGAGCACACAGGAACTCTGCACACACACACACACACACATACACTCACACGCAGCGGCGGCAGCACCGGATCCTACTTGTGAAACTGCGCGCGGAGGATCGATGCTTTCTCTTTGTGATCGATAAGCCGAGCGTGTGATCGGTTCGGGCTCTGCAGGGTCAGTGCGCGCAGTCCGCAGTCCGGAGCTCCTGGAGGTTTCCCGGACTCGGAGCAGCAGACAGGCAGAGGAGCGGAGAGGAGGTGGCGCTCCGCTCTGCGTCCGGGACAACACCGACTCTCTCTCTCTCTCTCTCTCTCTCTCTCTCCCCCTCTCTCTCTCCTTCACCGTCTCCTCCTGCTGGAGATAAATTAACGGAAAGCAGCTGTCGGTTGTTTTAGAGGCGAGGCGGCCGTCTGGCAGCTCAGGGATCCCGTTTTGCCTTTTTTTCTTTCTTCCTCGTCAGATCTGTTTTTCGCGGGACTCCGCCGACAGCGCTGCCGCCGCCGCTGCCGCTGCACCGCGCCCTCCGTCCCGAGCACCGAGGAGCCGCACCGCCGCACGCCGGCCACAGCGCACCGCAGGACGGATAGACATGTTGCCGAGGTCCGCCGGTCGCCGCGGCTCTCCGGCGGTCTGAAATGCACTTTCGGGACGTTTTGGAGATTTGCACCGTCCACCGCCCCCACCGGCCGCTCCCGCCTCACCCCCCAGCACCGACACCGCACCGGGCCGCCCTGTGATTGTTTATTCTGATTTCCACTTTCTCTAACGGGACTTTTCTCTTGTTGCTGGAGATGTTCTTCGGGTCTGGGCTCAAAGTTGTGCGCTCCCCGGCGGAGGGCCTCTAACAGGTCCGGACAGTACATGTAACCCGAGGCGGGGTCAAAGTTCAGCCCTGGTTGGAAATGTGAAAGCGAAGGGGGCAAAAGGAGGGCTCTATTTCCCCCTCTCTCACTCTCTCTCCTTCTTTTTTTCTGTTCTTTCCTTTTTTCACACACACACACACACACACACACGCGCACACACACACACACACACACACACACACACACACACACACACTACACGCACGCGCACACACACAGGCTGGAGTTACAGTAACACACACACATAAACACACACACACCTTCCAGGTCTAGGATTAGATCCGACAGATATGTATTCTCCGCTATGTTTAACACAGGTGAGTGTGCTCTCCAACTTTTTGGGTTGTGTTTGTGTGCGGCGCTGCTCGCTCTCTGCTCGCTATACACTGTGTACTGTGTGTGTGTGTGTGTGTGTGTACACTGTGTGTACTGTGCTCTCTGGGCTGTATGGACTCTATACACTCTCTCCCTATAGTCCGCTGCAGCTTCTCCTCTCACACTTGAGCTTCCTCTCGCCGCAGCACATGGCGGACGGCGGTTCCAAACTTCCTTTATTCACTTTATTCTCCAGGAGAAAAACAGTTCTCTCTCTCTCTCTCTCTCTGCGCAACTTTTCCTGCGTGTTTCCGAGCAGTTAGAGCGGCGGGCTGTGCGGGTCTCCGGCGGGCTGTGCGCACACTCTGTGCCGGCTGCTGCTCTGACTGGAGCCCCCCGCTCAGGCTCCCACCGCCCGGCCAGCCTGGCCGCAGCTCCGGCGCAGAGTTCCTCCTCTGCGGCGCTGTCGCTCTCTCTCCTCTTAAGTTTTGGATTCTGTAATTTGCGCAACATTTGGACGCGTAAAGTTAGGCACAACCATAAATTTGGACGCGTAAAGTTTGTTGGTTATTTCTGTTTCCCAAACTTTCCCACTGTGGCCGACAGACAGAAATATTCCCCTGTTCCTGTGTGCGGCGGTTTACTGTTTCTGGGCTCTGGCTCGGACTCTGGGCTCATATTGGTGCAGGAATAGTGAGTTTGTGTGTCCGGGCGCAGGGGGGGCTTTCTTTCTGATCCCGGTCTGTAAAATGTGATCATTAATCGCTTCCTTCCTGCTGCTGCTGCTCGGGCCTCACATAGGAACCTCAGGCCTGACACAAATCTGCGTCTCTGCAGACAAAAAACCCCAAAATGTGTGAGAGGTGAGCTGAGGTGACACAGCAGACCTGCAGCAGGATCCCCCCCCCCCAACCTGAACCTGTTTATTCTGCAGGAGCCGTTCAGCTTTTATTCCCACTAAAAATCCTCCTCAATAAAACCACTCTGCATATTTTCTCCAACAGAAAATTAAATTTGACCCAATTTTCTTCTTTTAAAAATCATTTTTGCTACCGCAGTGTGGTGTTCAGGGTCAGAGGTTAAAATAGGATTTAAGATCTTTTTTTTTTTGGTGTGACCTCCTGGAGATTCTGGCTGCAGACTTCCTCTTGTGGGAATTATCTCCTGAAATTAACGTCCGTTCCTCACAAATACAGTTCCAATTTAAATAAAACACGCAGATTTATTAAAGAATATTTTTTATTTCTGTCACTCCTCTATTTTAATCCACCAGTTTTTTGCATTTTATTGCAAGCACTGGCTTTAAATGGAATTGGATGTATTATTTATTACTGTATTTCTTCATTATAATCCACAAACAAGATAGTTAATTCTAACAATTTATAAATCAGAGTAAAAGGAGGTAATTCGTGGTTTTAATCTGCTCGTCAGCTTTTCGTGACTTCACTGATTTTTACCCACAGCAGTGATTTTGGCATTGTGTTTTTTTTTCTGGTTGAGGCTTCGGTCTGAAACTGCAGCAACGAACACGAGCTTTAACATTTAATCTGATTATCAGCCAGTAAAACCGATAATCAGTTGCATTACAAATGCTGCTCAGTTAACAACAGTTTCAGAGCTCTGAGCTGATGTGTTTGGTCTTATAGCGAGCACATGGTTATCCTGTTGGCTTACTGATTTAATTATTTCATTGTTGCCTTTTTATTAATTTCTGATATTTTTTGGAAGTGTGTGTGTAACAATCTGCTCAATCCAGTGACGCACTCTTTATCCAAACACTGTATTTTCATTGGCACCATAAAGCTCAAATTTCATGATTAATATTTGTATTTTAAGTTCATTTTGGCTCTAAAATATCAGCTGCTGCTCGTAAAGGTTGAACTTGAACTTGTGTTTCCTGATTTAAAAACACAGTTCTGGATTTCCTCATAAAATGTCAAACTCAAACAAAAATAAATGTATAAGTGAAATAAGCGTCTGCTTTTTGCCCCTCAGCCAGCAGGGGGCGCCTTTAAACGACACGCTTTAGTAATTTTTATCATATCGTATTTATTTATCGCTGCGATTTTGTGGCATTCCGACAAGCGTTTTTTTGGCGTCGTGGCAGAAATTGTGAGACCAGGATGTTTTCTTCAGGCTTCTGTCTGGGATTTTTTATAGATTTTAAAGAAAAGGTAACAAGTATATCTTTAAAAAATAGACGAGTAAATAACCAGCAGAGGTGTGAACGCCACAGGATATTGTTAGTCTCCAATAAATCCTATCTAAGCTGGCAGTTTGTAGATTTTTATATTTCCAAATTATAAAACAACCGGATCTCGTCTTCCAAACTACGTTCAGTCTCCTGAGCCGAGCACAAAGCTCCAGTGAGGAGCGAGGAAGGTCTCACTGAGGCAGAGTCTGCATTTCCAGCACAGATGATCCTTCATTGGTGTCTTTTGTTTCATATTGTGCTGCCATTCCTCCAGGTTGTAGTTCAGTGGGTTGTTTTTGAGCTGTTACTGTGTGTGAGGGGGATCAGATCCTCCTCTGGGTCTGAGTGTGACCTGGTCTGACTCTGATTGGCTCTCAGGTGTCAGTGACTTTGGCGCTGTTTGTCCAGTTGTCTGACTCCAGTTTGTATAAATCTCCCTCTTCCTCCTCCTCCTCCATCATCAGCCGATAACCGGCGGGCCTCGGCGGCTCAGCCGGGCCTCGGCGGCGAGCCACTGAGCCCGAGTGACACGCCGATAATTCCCTCAGTGTGTCGGTGTGGGTGTCAATAGACGGGGAGGGAGGCAGGGAGGCAGGGAGGATTACCATTATTGCTCCCCTAAATGACTGTTATTCAGGGGGTTGTTGTTACAGGCCGGTTATTTGGAGCCCATTACATCTGTCACCAAGGTGCGGAGGGGGGAACGTGTAAGCCTCAGTCCAGCTCCCAGACTCCCCTCGCGGGTTTAGAAACGCCGATTTCCTCGGAGTGAGAGCGCTGAAAGAAAGAATGACCCCAAAAGAGACGAAGAATGAACCCCAGGGAGCCGCGTCACACGTCCGCTTCAAAACCTCCTCACTACGTTTTAACCAGGCGGCTTTTATTCAGCAGCGAGCCGCTTCCCTGCCAGACACATGAGATGATTTTCACCTGGTTTTTAAATAAATTAAATGTCATTTTCTGGACACGGAGGCATGCAGTGCGTTCTCGTCTGCAGCTTTAAGATACGGACACATTACTGGATGGAAATAAATTCCAGAAACAAGAGAGAGTGTGCTGGGAACAAGTGGGATTATCTCAGAACAACTGGCTGAGTTCTTGTTTTTAATGCCAGATGTGGACAGAAAGGACTCGTTCATAAGGAAGTGTAGAGCTGAAGAGGACACACAGTGAAAAATGTTTTGTGTTACAGAAGCTGAAATATTTTCATAAGCCAAAAAACGCCCGTGGGTTGAGATAATTTTATGCTTCCAACACAAATCAATCAATACTTTCTCCTATAAGGAATCATTTCCTTCAGATCTGCTTTGTTCTGTGGTATTTCAAGATGCTGGCACCAATTTCTGGAAAATTCCTGAAACAAGTTTAAACCTTCGACCAGAAAGGTTGAATATTATCTCATCTGAAGGGTCAGAAGCAGGTTTTTAAGCTTTAATATGAGAAAAAGAATAAAGCACAAATTCCCCAACAGCACGAGTTGATTAGTCTGTTGTACAGTCCTGAAATGTTTTATTTTCCTAAAAATTTCACCAAAACCAACTGTTTAAATACAGATCAGCATTTATTAATAAACCCTTTGATTCTGGTGAATCTGCAGATTGTTGCTGAATTTTCTTTGTTTTTAAGAAACTGAAGCAAGAAAATCTCCAACTAAAGCTGGAGAGGAAAACAGCTAGCGAGATAATTTCACGTTTTCAATACAAATCAGCAAAATCTTTCAGTTGTGGAGAAGATATCTGCTTTATTTTCTTATTATTTCTGGATACTGACTCTCAATTCTAGAAAAATTCCTGAACAACAGAAGCTGAGGAAGGAGTCCTAAAATGTTATATAATAAATAAGCACCAAAACCAGCCAGTAGGTTGAGATCATTTCACGGTTTCAGTACAAATCAGCTGAATCTTTCAATTCTGGAGAAGCTATCTGCTGTGTTTTTTCTTATTTCTCAATGCTGACACTCAATTCTAGAAAATACCTGAAACAGCAGGAGCTTCACAAAAGGCAGAATTTTATTTTGCTTTTAAAAAACTGAAACTGCCAGTAAAGGAGTCCTAAAATTATATATTTTCCTCAAAAAAAACATTAATTTGACATAATTCTATGTTTCCATATAAATCAGCCTGCATCAGTAGTTTTCTCGAATAATTTTCTTGACACGGATGCAGAAACAGGATTATTTTCTTTCAAGACACATTTCAGCAAAACATTCCTGAGTCGAGGGGAAGCTGAGAACAAGAGGGATTATCTCACCCCGCCGGCAGAAAAGCATGTTTTTTTAAGGCTGAATATGAGACAAAGTGACTTGTTAAGTGGGATTTTGTTTGCGGCCGACAGACAGAGTGTGAAAAAGCGGCGGAGGAAGCGGCGGCAGAGGACGGTGTGAGCGGGTCAGGAAGCTGAAACGCTGCACTGGGCTGTGAGGAATGTTGGTATGTGGCTCCAACGAACATCCAGAGCCGCCGAGCCTGCAGATCCACTGTGGAATGTGTGTGAGTGTGTGTGGAGACGGGGCTGAACACATCATCCATCCAGCAGCCGCTCCTCGTCGTCCTAATAACCCGCCCGAGGACACACACAAACAGAAACACATCTCACTCTGAACAGAAACCGCAAATAACAAAAGGTTCTCGGCCATCCTGGAGTGAGATTTCACAGCGCAGAAAGCGGCTGCAGGTTGGCTGCAGAGCGGCTGGAGGCGCTTTTGGAGACAAACCCGTTCGCCTGGACCGTCTCCAAGAAGAAACAATGTGCTGTATTCAGACCCCTTGACAAGGGAGGGTGAACAATGTTATATAAAAAAAAGCAATG